ACCTAAGAGCGATGGCCTCCAACCTAAGAGCGATGGCCTCCAACCTACAAATACTTACTCAGTACTCAACCTCAAGAATCCTCAAACGACCACTGGCTGGGCGAAAATGGGCCACACTGGCTGCCACACGCGTCTCCCAGACCTCGAAATGTGTGGGCCTTTCTAAGCTCTTGAGGTCCAATGCAGGAGGCCTTTGCTGGAGCCCTCCGAAATGGCTATGACACACTGCTGGCGGAAGCCCATGCGAAATTGTCAGATGGAGACAGGCAGCGCTGGGTGCAGCACTGGGTACACTGGTGGAAAGCATGGGAAGCACGTGAACACATACACGCTGACATTGGTTTTCAGTTATATAACTCAATTCCCAGGTCGAAAATGGCGATGGAACAGAAAGGTGGCAGAGTCCGCAGAAGAGTATTGTTTAACAAAGGTTTGTGCACATCTGCAGCTCGCAAGAACGGCGGTGTCGAACGTCAGCGCGGCACAGCAGCAAGGAAAGGTTTGGGGGTGGTAGCATGAAGAACCATGGAGTCAAAACAGAGCAAATTAGACAGCTTGGTCAAAGCAGGCGAATCGCCGGTTCCCACGGGACCGACCCGGAAATTTACGACGAGAAAGAAGAGCCGCCCCGTTAATCTTTGGAATGTTCGTGTTTTGTCAAGCGCGACTTGCAAAACATCTGATGTGTCATCAGCTACTGCTTACAACTTATTACAGGTTTTTGAGCCTCTGTGGGTGCCAATCGTGCGTCCACAGCAGCGTCCATTGGTGTTTCGGGGGGGTGCTTGGGATGCAACATCAACACCGTCATACTTACGGTGCTTGGGGCACCGTTCAGCATCACACAAGTGAAAGCGCAGCCGTAAAGATACAGAACATCCCAGGTCTTTGAAAGGGGAAAGGTTGTCATTCGGCACTGACACGCCTGTCACGCCTCTGGCTTTGGAAGATGGCATCGAACCCACGGAAGGGCCATGAAGACTTAAGTCGGCAGAATATCATGTCATCCAAGAGGTGTAGGGCAGTGTAGGGTCCCTGAAATCAAATTCTGAACGCGCATCCCAAGCCTAGAATTTGGAAAATTCTGTCCGTTCGGGAGCCTTTTCAAAGACTGCGCTTGCAGATTGCGGGTGTTGTCAGGATGCACACCACAGATTCTGACCTTGCAGCCAAAATTAACAGTTTCTTTGGCGGTTGGACATGCCGTCCATACTTGGTATATTTGGTCCCAGCATATCCCATGATTTTCCATCAGGGAAATGGGAACGGGAGTCAACAAGAGGGCGCTTGTCTTTCTGTGTTCTGTGAAGTTGAGGGTTTCTGTCCAGGCAGAAAGTGAGTCGACTTTGCATCTTCGACGCTCGCATGGAGTTCCTGGCATTCCTGTCAAGGGATGAGGATTCCATGGAGAAGTTCGACACTCGCTGGAAGCAAATGCAGCTCCTGCAGTGCGCGGCAAAGAGTTTGATTCAAGCTGGTCCTGGCGCAGCTGGTGCGGCTGGCGCTAGCAGTGGAGCAAAGGGCCCTGAAATTGTTGAGAAGAGCACATCGCTTTGGGCATGGCAAACAGTGCCACGATGTTTGGAAGTCGCTGTCCTATGTAGTTTTGCCTTCCCCGTCTTTGTGGGAGCCATGGTCGAACTGAACCTGGCCGAGGGCTGCTTCTCTATGGATCCAACAAGTGCAGGCAGGGAGCTCTTGCAGATGCTGTGCAGCCACACGCTGTGTTCCATGCTCGGACCACTCTCATGCCCGTAGATTGAAGTACTGACTGCTTGGCGGATTTGTGCAGGTTCCTTGCTGCACCGGGTGTTGCCCGAAGAAGTCGAGATGCACCAGCGCACCGCGACCATAGGAGGTCAGCGCGACCAAGTCGGTTGGATGTTTGATGTGTTTCTGGAATTTTATGTTTTTTTTCTTTTTTCGGTTGGATGAACGATGCAGCGAAGTGTGCTGCGAAGGTGTTCTGGACTCTTTGGCGAAGCAACTCTGCGGAGCAATGGGTCTGCAATACCACAGTGCGAAGCGGCCAGCTTGCAATGAGTGCAACGAAGGAACAAAAAGTGCTACGATTTCCCGAGTTCTGGTTTGTTTCAGCTAGACTATCTGAGACATTCTGAGACTTGTTACTGGTAGCGATGCCCTTCTTACTAGTAGCTTCGTGTTACTACTATATAGTAGTGCACTTGTTACTAGTAGCTGCCAAAAGTCCAAGTCTCAAGTTCTCGCTCATTTGCTCGACATTGTTTAGGACTGTTAGCTACTAGTAGCAATGCCCCTGGTCTTTTTCTGCATCCCTTGTTCCTTTGCATGCAAGGCCAAGAGTAGTGGTGGAAGCGAAGCCCAACTCGTCCGACTGAAGGGGCAGAAGCGGGTGGCGGGCCCCTGAACACCGGGGTGCTTGACCATCCATGTGAGCCCAGAAAAAGGAGAAGATCTAAACATCGGCATGGTTTCTCGACACAAATCGATTAATTCTTTTCTTTGATTTGTGAATCTGCGACTTGTGTGGGCAAGAGACGAGCTCTTTTTTCTCAGCAATTTCATGACCAAGTGTGAGGCATGTGGCAGTGTCTTTGCATTGCCCAAGGGTAACTCGAAGGCGGACCTGTGTGCTTCGGTTGTTCCACGAATGAATTGCCTGGACTGCCAGTGGAAGCCTGACTCCACCACAATGCTTGATGGCTAGAAGTTCTGGCTCGAGCCAGAAATAACCGTGGCTAGCACCTGTAGCCATGGAGTGCGAGGCCAGTATGGAGTTTCTTGGATGAATTCGGCTCCTACATCAACCCGTAGGATACTTGCACGATTCTCTTCCACTTCCATGGCAGACCATGGAGAAAGATCCAAGCAATCCTATTTCTTTACCCAAGGTAGATAGCAGAGGATCAACAAGATACGGAAATGGACAAGTGTACATTTTCCATATGACTCCGTAGCTTCAGTAGCTAGTACTTACTCCCTTACTTAATTAAGTAGGCGCCTACTTAATTATGTAGGAGGGGGCTCAAAAGCAGTGTTCAAAGTTTTCCTCCGAACTGGACTGATCTCCTAGGCAGGAGATCGCGGACGCACTCCAATTTGGTGCGAAATCCATTGGTATGTTGGGAAGCATTGCCGTGCTCCTGAACAACATCCTCGGGTCGCACGCGCTTTTTCTTTTCGGTCCGATTGCTTCTCTCCGTGCGAAATCCATAGTTTTGTAGGTCAAAAAGCGCCATGCCATGCAGCGATCTTTCTTCAAAGTCAGACGTTTTGATCGTTTGGACCCTGGCAATGGCAGGCCCGGCATTGCCAACTTCTCGGGCCTTTATCAGCAAACAGGCTGGTTGCCACCCAGCTTTACCATCCTGATTTGCGTGATCTCTAGCATGGTCAGTGGAGTGACATGGCAGCACGTAGAATCGTCGAATTTTTCCATGAATCAATATGAATCACAGAATTCTCGCCAGAAAGCAAGATTAGACGCGCCTTTGAGGATATGCTTTTGGCAGCAATGAGAGCGTATCCTGAAAATTCAGAATTTGGGGTGAGAGTTGAATACGGAACCCTTTGTCGTCACTACTTCAGCCGCAAGACCGCCCTTTTGTTCCAGTGTGTCTCGACCGCGGTGGTTGCTCTTGTGGGGCAAGCGCAGATGGATTCTCAGAAGACCTGAAGCTCCTGAAGTGATTCACAGTGATCCATAGAAGCTGAGGCCTATTCCAGCTTGCAATGCTTTGTGCGAACATCAGCAACATTATTCAAACTGCCCAGGCGAGGCCCAGTCCTGGCTACGTCATTTTCAGCTTCTTGTTCCTAGTAGTAAGAATGCTCCTAGTAGTAAGGCCAGGAGCCCCTAGTGGCGTCCTTGCTCCTAGTAGCGATGCCCTTGCTCCTGAGGTCCTGGACTATTTTGTGGCAGATCTCAACCACGGCAAGTCATGTGCAGTGATGTTCTATCCCAACGTTGAAGCGTTTTGCCACACCTCCTCGACAGATGTTACTCCGTTTGGAACTGACAAGATTGTGCTTTCGCTGGGAATGGGCATTGTGGCCCTACTCAGCATACCACTGGGCTACTACAATCTGGAGGATAACGTTGTTGTTCAGAATGTCGCCATGGTGGTGATCTTGCTCTCGACCTTTGCTTGGTTCAGTATTTTTGCCTCATTGGGTCTGGACAGGGAGCGAGTGCCTCTCATAGGCAGCTCTTTGCACAACATGGGTGGTACCATTCTATTCAATTTTATGTGCTCCGGATGCATGTTGAGGGCGGGAAGGGGAAGCTGAACAATACTGGACTTTTGATCCATAAGCCGGGATACTTGGGGCCAAGACACAACAGCCGCTCAGCTTGACGTTGAGGTTCATTTCTACCATTCCATCCTGGGTGTGTGAGAAAAAGCCGACTGTGCCTTGGTTTGGAAGTGAAGTGCACTAGGCAAAGTGTTACGACACCCGCACACATTGTAATGGATTGTAATTTGTTTCCAGGGATTGTCACTTTTGGTTTGTGAGGTACGCCCTTTGATGGTCATTGGCATCACGTTGCTCATGGCAGTCCTCGGAAACAAGACTGCCTTAGTGTGCCATGTGGCCAACTGATTTGCCATCCATACAGGCTTTAAACAATAAACAATCAGTGCAGCATGCACTAGGTAACATCGCTTCAAAATCTAAGTCGGCCAGTTCTTTCCTGCAAGTTGTGCACCTCTGCTTCAAGAGGGAAAGAACTGAGCCTCAAAAGAAAATTAGGTACAGAAGAATCGGATATAACGGAGGGAGTAACGCTGGATTATCAGACGGCTACACTTGGTGGGTTCCCGTACTTGGCTTCCAACACCATCTCAGGATACATGCTGGTGGGCATCCTTGGGGGTATGGCCTTCAAGCCTTACTACATGACTGACAACACCCTGCTATCTGAGCTCAACCATATCTCTGCAGAGGCGGTGCGGTTCAGTGGAGTCTGGGGTCTTGCAGATTTCCCGTGGTTCACATGGGTCGTCACAGGTCCCGGAATTCATCCACTTAGACATGGAAGAACAAGGAGCGATGGCCTCTACCCTAGTAGCGATGGCTTCCACCCTAGGAGCGGGCTTAAAAGAAGAGCTCACTTAGCCATGGAAGAACAAACACTTGAAGTTCCTGATTCGTCCAGGAGGCGAGCTCTGTTGTGCGGATCACCGCATCTTGTTTGCACTTGTTGCAGTGATGCCTCCCACAAACACTGCCACAATCTCGAGGCTTTGGTCAGCGTGCAAGCATATGCCATCTCTGCCAACTTAGCATCCATTCCGCGGCTTGGTGCTATGTCATGTGGTCGAGATATCTGGTGTCTAGGGGCTGCTTTGCTTACTGCCTCCTTGCTGCCCAAGGATCTTTTCGATTCTCATGCGATACAACCTGATCGAGAGCCACGTGTGCGGCCCCAAGGCTGGCTTTTGAGACACGTCTGACTGACGAGCTCGTCTGATCATGAGAGCGAGCTCGTCTTTTTTCTTCTCCTCCCACTGGAAGACAAAGGGGCTTTCAGCATTCTCCCAACCTTTTGACCGAAACTCTAAGATCGTAGGTGGTACAACATCGCTTTATAGGTCGCTCAATCCAAGTCACTAGGCTTAGCCGTCTTCAGAAACTCCCAAAAGTGCCAGAGAAAGTACGAAAAGAGGAGCTATATAGCGCTTGGTCTTTTGGCCTCAAATAACTTGCTAGTATTCTGTGGTAAAACCACCGGTGGTTTTGTTCTCGCGTTTGTGGATCGTCGGGGCCGTGGCTGTGAGGCTGCAGGGGCGGTCTCTGTGCTTCTGCCCTTTGGTGTCTCCGTGCTTCTTTACACCGGTGAAGGTGAGCGGGAAAGAGATCAGAGGGAAAGGATGAGGTCGAGGGAGAGGGAGAGTCAGAGTGTGAAAGCATGGTTTTCGAACGAACGCTTTCACAGCCAGGTCGAACGCAGACTCAATCGAACGCAGAGAGACCCTGAGTATCGCTGGATCTTTTTTCCCTGGTTTGATGCTTTAAAGCGGTGAGGCTTCAAGGACATCGTTGACTTCTCGGGGACATTCACCTCAGCTCTCGTCAACTTGATGGTTCCAAGCCTCCTTTTCCTTGCTGCGTGCCTTGGCACCTGGTAGTTTCTGAGGGACCTCATGCCAAAGGATCATGAATCACGAGCTAATCATACAATGAAGAGCTTTCAGGAGTTTTCAGCTTTGTCATTTTTTGGTACTTGAGGCTGCACCGGGACGACATCAATGTACGTGACTCGGCAGCATCAGTAGCAGTGACAGTAGCAGTAGCAGGCGGCGTAGGAGTAGGATTGTTGTAGTACTTGTTGTAGCTGCAGTATGTAGACACAATAAGTAGTCATAGTAGCGTCCGATCGCTCCGTTCGTAGCGTCGCCGTGGAACGCCGTTGACGGCCGGAAGAAGCTGAGTGTAGCACACTCCCGAGAACGCACATGGAGAACTAACAGGCTTTTTAAGGCTCTTTTCTTTGATAAATCAGTGGCGTTCAGGGTCCATGTGAGTTTTCGGCTAATCCAGCACGAACCTCGGGAGAATTCTGACCTCGAAAGCCTCGAGAGCTGAAGAACTGCTGTGAGGTACAAATGTGGTTGAAGAGCTGAGCGTGCCTTGAAAGGAACATAGAGCGGCTTGAGCCACTGCTGTGTGATGTTAAGCACAGTAGTATACGATTCCCGAGCTTCTTACATCTTGTTACACGGAAGTTTGCACGCTTGTGGCCATAAATCATACATCATCATGGATCATCATAGATCAATATGATGAGAATTCGTTTTTCTCTTTTTTTCCTCTTGGACCGCGTCATGCCATCCAAGAGCTACCAGCCGAGGCGCGCAGCGCTAGACTTCGCGCGCGAAGTGCAGCTTGGTCAGCCAGCAGTTGCGTCGCTTCGAACGATGGGCCCAGTGGGCTGCGAAAGCTTTGGCGGATCATTGCCTGGGTATCTGGGCGGCCTTGAGGCAGATGCATGAGCAATGTTAATGTTCGCTACTAGTAGCTCCTGGCCTTACTGCTAGGAGCAAGGACGCTACTAGAAACAAAGGGCATCGCCAGGAGCAAGGAAGGCTACTAGTATCCACAACACGAGTTTGCATCCACTGTGATCCATTTGCGTCATCACTTCGAAGCCAACAGCATCACCGCCCCAATTCACTTGCCCCGAAACTGAGGTCAATCTTCTTGTGATGGTCGCATTGACAACGGTGTCGATTGTCGACCAATTCCTTTAATCTGATATTTTTTGCTTGTTAGTGCTTCTCTCACCGTGGACCATGGAGCTCTGAACCACTTGGGGTCGGAGAATACTTACACCACAGGTTCGTGAGCGCCCAAGCTGCGCGAAGGTGCAGCTTGAGCGGAAACTGTGAATTGGTGCAGCGGAAGCTCCTCCCAAAAAGACCCGCGCTGTCTGCCAGTTTGCTGACTTCCAGCAGCTTTGTGTCAAGGAATCGTTTGAGAAGATGTGTAGATATGAAGGGTGTCACAAGCCTGTGGCAGGAAGAAGCATGGGGCACCAGCCACTGGGGTGTTGGAGCCTTTGGGAAAAACATGGTGGGACAACAATGGAGAGGGTACACAGAGTACACGTTCCTTTTTGTGAAACACTGACATGCTTGCAAGGGCCCAAGGTGCACGGCAGTTCTGTCCATGTTTCTTGGGCTGTTTGTGCTTGGTTAAAGACAAGGGTTGTTGGCGCTTGGCATTCGAATGCAGTGTGCGTGTGCATGCTTCGCCCTTTGCGACACAGTGCCGCGTTTTTAAACCCTTTGCGTGCGCAACTTTTCTCTACAGGCTGCATTGAAGGAGACAGCAGCCTGCGATATGGTGTGCTTAGAAAGTGCTTTGTAACCTTTGAGACTACTTCTGGGAAATAGAGAGAGAGAGAGAGAGAGCTTCCGGAAAAGGAGCGTACTTCGGTTGAAGGATTGAAGGATTTGTCCATGAGATATAGAATCTTTGTAAAACCAACTGGGAGTCCATGAGCAAACTGTGGGCGGCAAAGATCCTGGAGATTTGGTCAGGGTAGTGACTGGGCAGGGCTGTGCAAGTTCAACATAACGACTTCAAAGGGGGTGTCGAGGCCAAATTGCCACGTGAACCCGGTAGAACATGCACTTGCCTGTGAGAAGGGAAAAGTGCATCACTAAAGTGCCCTCAAGTGGGCCTAAGCAGTGTCATGCAATGTCACTGAACAAACCAGATGCCACCATGCCCAGGGTTGCCAAGGCGAGGTTATTTCGTATTATGTTAGGTTGGAGGCCATCACCACTAGGTTGGAGGCCATCGCTGGTGGGGTGGAGGCCATCGCTCTTAGGTTATTGCATAATTTTGGTGCGTATTTATCCGTCCTCGTCAAATTTTGTTGTTTGACCTTTTGAGCGTTTAGGTCTGCGGAGCTGATTCAGATTTGATTTGTTCACATCAACATTGATCTGAAGACCAATGCTTTGTATCCCCCCATCATGTCCACTGGCTGGCGCTACAGGCTAGCCAGCCAGTGGCCAGTGCGGGGGTTTCCCTCCCTGATGCGTTTAACATTGGTATGGGACCGATTTAGTTTGTTGTGACGCGGTTGAGCTGGGCACTTTTCATTGTGCACATTCGTCTTAGATTCCGCGTGTGTTTCTTTTCGCCTTCCGTGCTGGACGTGCATATGAGGAGCATGTTGGCAGTATTCACACATATTAGGCTGAAGGATGTGCTGCGCTCATGTGTCAACACAACCAACATATTGACATCACGTTCAAGGTCATTTTCCAGTTGGGCTCCGGCATCGCGTATGCCATGAAGTCGGAACCCTGGGTGTGTGTGTGTGTGTGTTCCCAGTTTTGTGTTGCATTGACTGCACTGTCCAAGCACAGGTTCACTGCTATCAAACTGTTGCTGTGCAGCAACAATGAGTTGGAGTCCCAGAACAGTTCTCAGTGCAAGTAATATGTTCAACCTGACTTGGGCATGGGTCGCGCTGCTACTGCATGCTACTGCCCCTCCAAAACCTGCAGGTCTGCCAACAGTGCCCACCGGCCGCCGTCAAAAGCACAAGTTGTCTTCCTTTGCAATCCAGCCATGAGCTTAGCGCGGGCAATCTGGTGAGGCTCGAGGCTTGTGCGCCGACAGTTCACCGACAACGCGATCGTGGAAGGCAACATTCCGCGATCTGTTCAACCGCACATGTTCCAAATGTCGGGGACACACCTTCAGAAGCTGTTGGTGTGCACGACGCCGAAGATCTCTTCGTGGCACTCGTGTAGAGTTTGGCAGGAACAGTCGGTGCCCCATCACCTTTTGTTGTCTGAGCGTGGCAACCCGCACGATATTCATGTCCCTCCTTGCAAATCCCAAGGGTGCATCGGTCGGCGAATGACTTGAGGAGAGATTTTGCCAAAACCCAGCTCAACAAATTTCCCAGAGACCAACATCAGCACCGTTTCATATCCATTCAGTGGCTTTAAGACAAAATCGGTGCTCCTGACGCGGTTCTTTGACTTTTTTCTGTGTTGCACGCTTTGAGGTGACAATTGGGTCATACAGAGTTATAAAATATATATGTTTTAGTTCTTGTGACCTGCTTGTGGCTGTGCCATGCACTTCACACCAATCAGATCGAACATCGACGCGAATCGCGACGATGCCACGGAGTCGATGCACGCGCCACATCTGCGTCTCCACCCCCCTCCAGGTCCCAGGGCCCCTCCAGGTCCCAGGGTGGGGCCCTGGGATAGGAGGGCCCATTGAAGGGTGAGTTCGAATTCAAGAAATGGTGGGTCAGTGAAAGGAACCACCATTTTTGAATTTTCTTGAAGTTGCTCGCCTGAGGTGATAGGCCTAATGAGCAGCCTTTGGCTCGTTTATTGCTGTGCTATGCTTATTGAGAGAACGCTACTAGGAGCAATGGGCATCGCTACTTACTAGGGGCTCCTGGCCTGACTACTAGGAGCAATGGGCATCGCTACTAGAGGCTCCTGGCCTTACTACTAGGAACGATCGGATGCTACGAACATAGCTTTCTCAACCGAATTGCCAGGCCTGGCGTTGGTGCCTCTGGGCGGTGATTGGACAGTGCCCGAGTTTAGTCTTGCTTTGGCTGTGACGGGCTTAATAGGCGGAGAAATGGGGGTCGTTCGTGAAACGCAAGACAACAGACTGTTGCACACAAACTGCCAAATTATTGCTTGGAAAACCATGTTATTTCTGCGTTTTTTGGTATGTTCTTGTAGCTCAGGGAAAGTCAATGCTTCTTTAATGACCAGGTGGCTGCGGCGGCCACCCCTATCCTTGTGTTTGGCGCTTGGTTCACGTGCTGTTTTTGCAGCCTTCAGCTGGCCTGGCTTGAAAGTCCAGGCTGCAGATGCAACTCATCCAGTTGCTCAAGTCGCCTGTCACAGCCGAACACTGAGCACGGTGCTTCTGATATCAAGAAGAGAATCTCCACAGGGGGAATCGGCCGAAACAAGGGCTACATAGGAAAAGGTCCAAAGGTCTAAACCATAAAACATACAGCCATAAAGAATATATGTGGCAATCACTAATCATAGTTTCGACCATATGTTGCCATACACCATGTGTTTCTGCTATTTGGCAATCACGAATCATAGTGGCGAGCCGGTCGGGCGTTCGACTTGGGCAACGCTTCGGTACAGTGCTTTGCATTGTCTCGTTGTTCACTTGCTTGGGTTCATTCTGGTGCTCAGCAGAACAATTGTTTTGGCATCGTCCCTGTGGGCTGCCTCCATTCTATTTGGGTTTTCTGGTATTCTTTTCCTTTCCCTTGGCACTCAAGATTTGAGAACTGATGGCGTATTGAAAAGAGCGAAAACAACTTGTCAATAATTAGCTAGCATAGCTATCTTGAGCCTTGCTGTCGCGAATGTTCTAGGTGGCTGTGCTGGCAGTTTTCCACGATCTTGCGATTGCACAATGCTCAGTTGTTCCCCATCACCCGGCCGTTGCTATTTAGGCTGGAGGCCATCGCTAGTAGGTTGGAGGCCGTCACCCTCGAAAGTGTGCTTCTTCTGTCCGTGTCCATGCCAGACTTCTAGGAGCTCCTGTTTCCACCCGGATCCTTTTCATCTCCTCTGGCCATGTCGGTCATGTGCCTCAGGTTTGCTATTTCGTCAGTATGGGTGGAGAGTCGCGAGAGGCTCAGAAGTGGTTCCTGCTTTACAGATTTTGCAGTCAAGCCTTCTTTGCTGATTCACTGAGACGGAACATTGACACCAGAGCTTTGTACCTCTCAGTTCGGCTCAGGTTTTCTCGAGCGCAAGTCATCGGCTATACGGTGGGCAATAGCTAGACATGTGACTGTGACAGCATGAGCTGCTGCGCATGGTGCCTCTTGCGTCATTTTGGTTCGAAGTGTGTTAGGTTCCAAGGTGTTTCGCGTGTCCGAAGGACGCGAATACAGTCTGTTGATTGTCTGGATGCAGTGCCGTGCCAAAGTTTGCATGGTCAACTGCCTGTTGCCCTCGTCTTCGCTCCCCCCGTGCACGACACGGCCGACGTGCTCACCATTGGAGAAACCTGGGATCGACACCCAGGTGCCGATCGGCAGTCCGTGCCGGAGGGTGCCCGTTGGGCGTGTGGCCGTGGTCCTTGGCACTCTGGGCTTCGGGGCTTCCTTTGGCAGACGTCGGACGTTGAGACCCTCGAAACGGTCGCCATCACCAGCATTGCACGTGACAAGGAAGGCGCTCCGAGAGAATTGTGAGTTGTCCGTGGCCTTCCCTGTCTATGAGGCTGGTGATGAAGTCATGGAGGAGTTGAAGACAATGTTGAGTGACTCAAGTGACATTCCAGCATCGGCAGGTTCTGAGGCCCAATGGGCTGGTTTGTGGCGCGTGAGCTACGCACCTCATATCCTGACCCTGGGCAGTCTCTCTCTCACAAAATTCGACGTGTACTATGACATTGCTCCGGCGGTCGACGGCGAGCCGCCCGAAATACGATCCTTTGTCAGATTTCAGGGCCCCTTTTGGAAAGGCTGGCTCAATGCAGCGGGGCGCATTTCGAATCTGCCAGAGAACGAGGTCGAAGTTGCCTTCAAAGACTTTTGGATCGTCTCTTGCTATAAAGTACAGTACTTATTTTAGTAGGTTGGAGGCCATCGCTTCTAGGTAGGAGACCATCGCTATGAGGTTGGAGGCCATTGCCAGTAGGTTGGAGGCCATCGCTATTAGGTTGGAGGCCATCGCTTCTAGGTTTTTGTCTCTTCCGTGAACAGGACTGGTGACCGAAATATCACATAATATCATGTCACACCACATATAACACCATATCGTTGCATATTGTAATATTAAAAAATATATATATATATATATCATGTATTAGATATCAGGTATCCCATGCCGTATGCTACATAATTGCTCACATTTATAGACATCGTTGTATCTTTCATGTCGCACCATAACATACCCTGAGACGGTATGGATACGATATGATATGACCGAACAATGGGGCTAGGTGGGGTCGGAGCTCACAAATCCTGACACTTTGCAGGGTAGGTGCATTAACATATCGCCCCGTTTGGCTGGGCGTGTGCAACCCGTGTGCAACATCACGTGTGCCTGGCATTCGATCAAACGAGTTGTCGGATCGGAAGGGATGGGACAAGGCCATCGCATGACAAGGGATGCTGTGCAGCATCAGTGCTTTCTTCTGCGGTTGCATGTTCCATTCCGTTTATTTACCCTATCATGTACCAGAAGAACACAACAACAAACAGGGCAAGATACATACCCTTTCACTGATGGTCAATCGCCGAAATGTCTTCTGGTTAACTCGGCCAAAATGGACATCGACATACATTGAGGACAAAAAGACACAACGTGACTAACCACAGATAACCACATCATTTCACATTGCCGCCTTGTGCATTGTGGTGAAGTGGTGTCACCGCTGGTAACAAGGTGCCCTTTCGCCCCTGGCAAAGAGATTCCTTTTCTGACATGATATGTGCGATATTAGATCCTTGATATGATATCTCATGATCATGCGATGATACCATCTTCTCCCGATACATTGCTCTTTACTACATTGATGCGTTCTGCATTGTTTGGCCGCCTCTCATCTATTGAATCCCGTGTTTGCGTTCTTGGGCTTTTTTGTTGGCCTTCTGAAGAGCCGACAGCCACGGGGCATTGCTGAACCTTCAGGATTTGGACACCCCACAGCCACGACGAAGCGGTGGTGGTGACCTCTGGTCACAGGTCGCGGCCACGTTTTTCTTCTTGGAGCTCAGCAGATTTCCGGTCGGGGAACCGAAGAACCCAGCCATTTGCATCAAGGAGGGGCCCCGGAGGGGCGGGGCACATGTGGAGTCGTCGATGTAGGAGGCTTTGCTGGACTTGTAGGCTCAAAGTGGTCAAGATCAAGCAGTGAAGATGCGAGGTCTTGAGCCTCGACACCAGGAAAGGCACCACAGCCAGCTGCTCAGAAAGAGGAATGAGGAATGGAGTCGGAGGAATGGAGTCGGAATGGATCAGATGCCTCAGGTCTTCCGCTTTCCGGCCTTGGGAGTGCAAATCGCTGCATGTTTGATTGGCCCCAGTGGGTCGGCGCTGCGCCCGCTGGTCTGAGACGGGGTTCGAATAAGCTCCCTTTTCGGAGCAACATGGTTTTTTCGTAAAACATATCCAACCTAGAAGCGATGGCCACCAACCCAGAAGCAAATAGACTCTGAAGACTACCCTGTAGACCTTCTGTGGTCTTCATTCCTTTCACATTTCTTCGTGGTGTTTACACTTGTCTCAGCATCATCGGACTTTGGAGCTGCAATGCGGCATATATAAAGACCATTGCAGCCCAGAAAAGCAGATTAATCAGTGAACGCAAACTTGCAAGCCACTGCCCAGAGCATATGAAAGCATGACAATAGCAATGAAGGTGTCAGCCGTGGGCGCCATCCTTTACAGCTGCGCAAAGTATCGTCAGATCCTTGGTTTTGCACTGCAGAAAACCTTTTCCTTGGATCTCAAGTCTTGTGAACTTGCTTCCATGCTTTGACTAAGGCTATTCTGATTTGGCTGCTCAGGCACGGGGGTGAAGCAAGCATTTTTCGACAGCCTAGGAGCAAGAAGCTACTAGGTGGAGACCGCTATTAGGTTGGAGGCCATTGCTAGTAGCAAGGACGCTACCAGTGTGCTCCTTTTGGGTCACTTCTACTAGATTCGGATCTTGATCTAAACCATTCAGATCAGATTCCAGCGTAGATGCTAGTAGAAACAAGAATCAACAAGAACGATTATTTCTTCTGGGTGGCGTAGGTCCTTAGGTCCTTAGGTTTAGTCGGCCTTGTCGGGCAAAGAAAGGGAGATAATATGGCTGCTCTTAAGCAGCTGCTTGAAGCCAAGGACCTTTCTGATTGCAGCTCTTCGATTGAAAATGACCGGAGTTTCTCAATAACCCCGCAGACGATGAGGCTGCACTTCTCATTTTCAACTCAATCCAGTTTTTGAATCACACCGTGTGCGGTTTTGGACTGAACTACCCGGGCTTCAAAAAGTGGTCATCATCCCCTGGTTTTTAGAAGCCCTTTCTGAGCTTGCTTTTCGACAAAAGATCTCTTTCAACTTAATTCTTGTGACATGCGATAGGTTCAAGTGTTTTCAGCCTCGCGTAGATCCTTCCACTGGCCCAAAGGCTTGGCTTGTGGTACCCTGGCAGTGCCAAAAGGAGTCTTTAAACACTTGCTTGCTGCGCCGGCTGGTCAAGACAAAAGCACTTCTTTGATCTTCTTTGTGGGAATCCCGATCTGAACTCTTTTTTCGGAGCGCTTTCAACGCCCTTAAGTAGCAGTATGAGATAAAGCATTCCAGGGGTCACTGTCAAATCAGCAAGGGCTGGGCAATTGGATACTTTTTGGGGGGGGGGCAAAAGACAACAGCTCGCGTACCGGTACCAGTGGTCCCAGAGGGCCTCGTTCCATGTTTGCATGATTTTGCATGCTCTTCGGCTTGAGCTAGACTCCCCCCCAGCAGCATCGGCCCAGCTCTCAGCTGTCCCACCAGCTGTCCCGACCTTTTTCGTGTGTTTTGCTTGGGAGGACCAGTCGGACCAAGCTGTAGCATTTGCATTCTTGTTCATGTTCTGGATAACCAATAGACTGTCCCAATGAGTCTTCTTGTCTTCAAAGACCTGAGGCCATGCAAAGCACCAGGCACATGTTGCGATGAATGGCGAAGCACCCGGATTCATTCGTTCACGTCAAGGCGCCTGGTGCGTCCACGACCGATGGTTCGGAGGGAAGCGACGGTTCGGTGTCCAGGCTGCCAGAGCGTTAGAAGCAGCCTTGGTCTTTGGCTCAGGTTCCTGAAGCCCTCCATAAAGAGAAAAGAAATAAAGAAAGAACAGTCTTTAAAAGAGAAAGAGAGGACCTTTGGCTCAGTGGTGGCTCAAGCAAGCGCCTTTTTGTTTCGCTTCATCGTACTTGGGATGCCGTTGTTGCCATGGTGCAAGCCCGGCAGAAACAGAGCCGCCACTGATCCACTTAGGTTCGCCAGTTTGGTGAGTCAGCACGTGAAACTGTAGCAGAACAGGCACGGCGGATTACTAAGTACCTATATAGGTAGTTCATACTAGGGTGGAGGCCGCTGTTGGGTTGGAGGCCATTGCTAGTAGGTGAGAAGCTGTGCACTTTCAGCTCAGCTTTCAGGTGGGGAGCTTTCTGCAAGGGCGCACACTGCAAGCCCCTGAGTCCTGCCCTAGTTGCTGCCACTTGTTGCCCCGTTTTGCCGATTCGACATGCTGTGAGGTTGCATGCTTCACTCCTTGCCTAGTCTTTTTGGACCAAGAACAAGCTCACATCAGGGGCACTTGAAATGGCAGTCAGGCCACATGCATGTTTGATGGAATGTCGAACATGCTCAAACTGTAGCTCTTCAAAGCTATTTGAACAGCGGTTCCTGGGATTGGTTAGTGCAACTCAGAGAGTCATGGATCAAGAACGGGCCACAGTCATGCAGGAGTCGATGGAGGACACGGAGGCTTGTGTTAAGCCTGGACAAGCACATTTGCACGCTTCCAAAAATTCCAGGATGGTAAAAAACATATATAGCACAAACATATTAGGCTGCTAGGCACATGGAAGAAAGCTCAAAGAGACAACGGCACATCCGATGCGATCTTCACTTGCCATGACCAAGCAGCGGCTGATTGGGATCTCGCTGCTTTGCTTCGGTTCCATGACCAGCTTCGACTCCATTGGCTTTGCGATGCCTGGCTTAAAGCTTTTGAAGGAGGAACAATGGGAAAAGAGAGGGGGAGGGAGCAGAGGCAAGACAGGCAGACACATGGACCCCTACATTTTATCCAAACGGTTCAGAAGAGTCAGAAAAGAACTCAGGCAGCCGTAATTGAAACAGTTCGCTGTGTTGGCACGTTCATCCGTGGTTCTTGGGAAGCGGAACCATCAAGCCCCAAAGTCTGCGTTCCAAGTGGTAATGAAACGCAAGTTGCGTCGAAACTGCCCCGTGCTCCAGTTCGTAAACGGCGGTTATATATATATATGATATATAGTTATGTGCAGTAATATTTGTAGAATCTTATTTAACATATATTAGTACGCTTGCCAAGAGTAGTGCGGTGGTAAAACTTGGTGATGGTATTGCATGTCCCATCCCGACTTGCCCGAGCACATTGTCACCTCAAAATGTCAGGGGTTTTCTGTTGGGCCCAAGGTTGACCGCTGACTTCAAAAAATTGAGTGATATAGGACCTGATGAGCCTGACAGAGGCAAAGGTGGTGGACAATGTGTTGCATTGATCTACCTTCTGAGTTTATATAGGACGCTACTAGTAACGAAGACGCTACTAGTAGTTCCTTGTAATACTGCCCTTCGCACCACTGAACTTGGCCTTCGCGTCGGGATGCTGAGGACCCCGCACCTCGACAAAGGCCAACTTTGGTCTTTCGTGCTTTGTAAGGAGCTTCAGTCTTGATGGTTGATGTGTGAGGCGTTTTACAGCCTGGCGTCCTTGTGTTTGGCGCAGAGTATTGCGGCCCTTGCAAGGCTAAGAGCCTAGAGTTCACAGTGGTTCACTCAGGGACGCAACTATAGAAATATTTCCATCCTTGAAGCTGGCTTTAGAGGCCATGGGTACTAGGGTGGAGGCCATCGGTAATAGGTTGGAGGCCATCGCTACTAGGTTGGAGGCCATCGCAATTAGGTTGGAGGCCATCGCTTATAGGTTGGAGGCCACCGGTACTAGGGTGGAGGCCATCGCTAATAGGTTGGAGGCCATTGTAATTAGGTTGGAGGCCATCGCTTACAGGTTGGAGGCCATCGGTACTAGGGTGGAGGCCATCGCTAATAGGTT